TCCATTAAAGTTGACATCTTCCTTACCGTTGGCGTATTATCCAAATGAAAATGTACTTCCTTGATACTTTCGCCATGGTTTCCTTGGGGATTAGAGAGACCAAACAGTCTCTCTTTCAGGAAATCACTATTACAGTTAATAGGATTCAATCTCCACGAGATGGTGCATACCATACTCTTTCTCATTCCAAAACGCAAATGATATATTCTGCAGGCCGTGGCTATCCGATACTCCAGCAATCCCATCTTCCCCCCAACGGAAAACTCGAGATCTAGCATCATCATAAGTGAAGTCTTTGATTTGGGTAAACTGTAAGCCATTGCTTTTACACATGCATGGTATACAATATTCAAAACTTACAATTCCAGGCATCTCCATCCGCACTGCAATAGCAGGTTAGACGACGAATAATTCAGAGGAGGACATGGACGAGGCTTACGAGTAGTCCTCACGCACTGGAGGGAAGTGCAAATTGTTAGCCGTTTGTTTCATAAAAACGCTTTAACATGTTGGAACAGCTAACCTGTGGCCCACTGCCGCTCTGCAACATACGGGCCCCATCTTTTCCAATATTTCACCCGTTCACGATCCTCCTTTAGCCGCTTCTCCTCTTCGCAGAGAAACTCGTAATGATCAATGGCCACCATGGTTATGAAATTGAAGCACAGATAGCTTGAAAGAGGCCCGCCTGGTAATAAACACAACAATCTATCGTTAGATAAACAGCATTTTATTCACGTCTCACATGCGGGGATGAACCCACCTGCAAAATTGAAAGACAATGATGACGTAGCCAGCTGCGGGTTCAATGCAATATTAGGACCAGTGACGATAAATGAAGATAAACCTTTTGAGATTGACAAAATTGATACTGATATCCGATAAATAAAGATGTATGCGTTTAATTGTGCCTATGAAGACTCCTTTCCTAGTTAAGGATGTTAGAAACCGGTTCCGCACCGCCGTCGCCACCGGATTGGAACATAGATTTTCCACCAAGTCAACATCAGAAAATTACATATCGAGATACATACCTTAACGATTTCAGTTCCACGAACCAACCACCACTCCTCGGCATTACCCTTATATTATTCCAAAACCTTTCCAATGCTGGAATCTTGCAATGTCGGCGTCCTTGGTGGCGGCCAATTGGGCAGAATGCTCATGGAAGCTGCAAACCGTATGAATATCCGAATGACCATCCTAGATACCGATAATGCCCCTGCGAAACAAATCAGTGCACACAGCGGACATGTCACCGGCTCCTTTGCTGACCGCGCGTCGGTTTGCAAGCTCGCAGAAGTTTGCGACATTATTACTGCGGAGATTGAACATGTAGATACCTATACGCTTGAGGAGGTGGAGGATCAAGTCGAGGTGCAACCCAGCTGGCAAAGCATTCGAATTATCCAGGATAAATTTGCACAGAAGGTTCATTTGTCCCGCTACGGTATCCCGATGGCGGAATACAGGGAGCTGAAATCTAATACTGTGGAGGAGCTGGAGGCAATTGGAGAAGAGCTGGGCTATCCACTTATGCTTAAATCAAAAACTTTGGCGTACGACGGCAGAGGTGAGCAATGTCGTTTCCATGCATATTATTACCTTGTTTTCCAACTAATCCAACCTATGCTCAAGGAAATTACACTGTCAAAGCAAAGTCATCGGTCCCAGCGGCACTCGACTCCTTAAAAAATCGGCCGCTTTATGCGGAGAAATGGGTCAGCTTCAGAATGGTATATATAGTAAAAAATTTTCTATAATATGAACGACCGTAAAGCCTTTTAACATTGAAGAATTTAGGAGCTGGCTGTCATGGTAGTCAAAACCAAGGATGGAGTTCTATCTTACCCTACCGTCGAAACTATTCAAGAAAACTCAATATGCAAACTAGTATACGCGCCCTCCAGAGGTGTATCAGATGCCGTCGACAAGAAAGCCCAAGAGCTAGCCAGAAATGCGGTTGCGGCATTTGACGGCAAAGGCGTATTCGGTGTTGAAATGTTCCTCTTAGAAGACGATTCGCTATTACTCTGCGAACTTGCCAGCCGCATCCATAACTCAGGTCACTACACCATCGAAGCCTGCCCCATGTCTCAATTCGAAGCACACCTGCGAGCGATCCTTGACCTCCCCATACCCCAACAGAGCCTTAAAATCCGACAGCCGGCCATAATGGTTAACATCCTAGGCGGCACCACGCCAGACTCACATCTCAAAGTCGCTGAGCGCGCTCTCTCAATTCCAAACGCCAGCATTCATCTATACAGTAAAGGTGCTGCCCGCCTAGGAAGGAAGATGGGTCATATCACCGTCACAGCACACACAATGAAAGAAGCGGAAACTCTTGTTGAGCCACTTCTCGAACCCACAGATACCATAATTGCCACATCTGCGTCTCCTATGCTTTTCTTCCCACCCAAACCTGCCAATACGCGACCTAAACCGACCATTGGAGTAGTTATGGGTTCTGACAGTGACCTGAAGACCCTAATACCGGGCCTCAACCTTCTAAAATACAACTTCGGCATCGAACCGGAGGTTGACATTACATCCGCGCACCGTACTCCTGATTACATGGCGGAATATGCATCGACAGCAGCTTCTCGTGGTATTAAGGTAATTATCGCTGCTGCGGGGGGTGCTGCACATCTGCCCGGCATGGCTGCTGCGCATACCTCGTTACCAGTGATTGGAGTGCCGGTGAAGGGGAGTTCGTTGGATGGAGTTGATAGTTTGTACAGTATTGTGCAAATGCCGCGGGGTGTCCCGGTTGCCACTGTGGGGATTAATAATAGCATCAACGCGGCACTTTTGGCAGCTCGGATCCTGGGAGCCTTTGACTGGCAGCTTCGAAGGAAGGTGGAGGAGTATGCGAAGAATGCGAAAGTGGATAATTTAGATATAAAGGGGGCGAAGATGAGGGAGATTGGATGGGAGAGGTATTATGAGGAGATGCCGAAATGAATGGATGCTACGATGAGTCGATATTTTTTTTATTATTATGATGGGCTGTATTGCTTTAGATGGATCTGATGGATTATGTGCGGATCAAACAAAATGAACATTATAACGATGAGGTTACTGATCCTACGTAAGCACCTACTAACGGTAGGTAGCTTTGTGTGCTCATGTGGTGTTCATAACCGCCCCTGAACCCCGTGCACCTGAGAGGTAATTTAACGATTTCGCCACAGCATCGGAACGACATAGACATATTCCCCTGGTTTCCTCAACCAATCCGTCCAATGGAGAAATGGTTCTCGAAAAAGAAAGCAAGGGACGGGTTAGGCTGGTCCAAGGTGTGTGCGCAAAGCAATCGGGGACACAGTTTTTGCCGCTTCC